CAGTTAGATACACGATGCGTGACAGTTAGATACACGATGCGTGACCTCTCTTGTATTGAGAGGCACGCCTAGATTAAGTAAGCATTCTACCCTAACCACCACCGAGACCACCCCGTCTCGGATGGACTACCATTATTTCCACTGAGGCCACTCCGCCTCGAATAAACCTATACTACTACAACTATCGACACACTTTTCACTCGTTTTTTACCTTTCCTGGAAGCGCGCAGCGAAAATGAAGCACACTTTTCAGGTCCTTGCATGAGCCCCTACAATATGCAAAAAACCGTTTTCGAAAAGCGCACCACGCCCTGAACGACCTCCCTTGTAAGACATGCTCGCTACCGTAACCCTAAGTTCGGACGCCGGCTTTTTAAATGTTTCCTTTTCTTTTCAAGAGTTTTTCCTCTATGTTTCTGTTGTTTTTTGTTTTCTTTTCTTCGCATTCGATGATATCCACTACTGGGAGATGTGACAAAGTGATTTGTGAGCCAGGGCTTGCACAGAGACCGCAGGGAGGTGTGACTGTCAGGTCGCGATTTTGTTTATGGTGTTCTTGACGGCTCTTGTTTCTTCCTTCTACTGTTTCATAATTGATCAGCAATTATCCTTGACACTTTTATCGCGTGAGCTGTCTTTAAAGCGAGCAAGTGATAAGACTGTATCATATCGTTCGTATAACTGTTTTCTACCATTGGTTGTCGCATGCGCGCTTCAACAAGAAGGCAGAACGGCTTCGATGGCGTGACACACTCATACTGCCTGACAAGCCCAACCGTCCGCAGCGAACTAGAGTATAACACTAGTTACGTGAGAGTCACCCACCTCATCACCCCTTCGCAGGGGCTGCTGGGCAGGATGGTTTGTGCTCTGTATGGTGGGAATATTCCGAGCGGCTGAGGCAGAGTCCACACCTAAAACAACCAAACTAACTGAAAATATCTGCAACATCTCAGGATCACTGATCCGTAGAACCAAGGACAGGAACTAACGTGCTCGATTTCTTCTCGGATATGAGGCGAAGCTCGATCCTAGTATACGTTCTGAAAGCAAATAGAATCTTGATAGACGCAACTTTTGAATACTCGATGTAACCGTATTTTAGGTCCACGGTAACTAAATTTACGACTCTATTAAAATATTCGAGGCGGAGGTGGTGTATTGACAAGTGGCGCGCTTATCACTGGCGCGGTCCTGCGGTCAAAGCCCGAGTCGACGCCCACCCAGCCAACCAAGCCTTCTAACCGTCCCCCACCTCAGGACGGTAAATTGGCACCACTTTCGACTGGGAGGACAAGAGGAAAGAGATTGATCAACGGTAAAGCCTTTATCGTTTATCACTTTTATATTGAGCTGGAACATAAGTTTCGGGCATTTTTCGCAAGAAATTGATTTACATTTTCAAATAGACGCTGTACTATCCAGTCATTTAGGCCATAGTATGATGAATATGCTTAACGGAACATAGGGAAGCACCGTGGGGAATTATTAGGCCGGAAAGGAAGTTTTGTCACTGTTGCAATTCTTTCTTTTTTATTTTCTAGCTAGACACATAAGAAATCAACCATATATACTCACTACAATGCTCTACCTAATGGGCAGGTCAGCGATCCCCTTACGCCAGAAGTGGGAGGCTGCGGAACAAGTAGCTGTCGGGGCCCATGTCAGGAGAATATGGTAGGCAAGATGTGGTTCCCTAGCAATGCGATATTTTGTTAGTTTCCACAGCAGTGTAGGGTCTCGCTTCTTCCCGAGTGAGGTGCCCCAGAGCTAGTCTCCGTCATTTTTCTCCGAAACTTTCCATGGTTTTATGGAGCCAAGGGATAACTGGTAGCGGTGACTGTGTGTCCTTACAGGATCAGCTCGCTTTGCAGCATTCCCCCTCGCGTTCCAAAAGCAGCACAGGAAATCCGGTCCGGCGTGTATGCCCGGTCTGGCCTGCTAATATGGGTCTTCCGTCTGAGAGCAAGACGCACCGTTGTTGGGGATTCCCCAACAGGGGCGTCGTATTGATCCGCTGGGAGAAGGGGAGGGGGTCGTAATTAGTCCTTCACTCAGTAACGAGCAGAGCAAAGGTGTCAGATGTGTAAAAAAAGTACAAAACTTTCATTAACTGAACTAATCCAAATTAACTGGAAACATTATAAGTTGGCATCATTTCGTAAGTACATAGATGACTAAACAGTACAACTCATACCCTGGTTCGCTGCGGATGATGGGGCGTGTCCGAGCGACCGCGCTTGGCGCTGAGCCAACCTGTTTTTTTTTCGACAAACGACAGGACTACCATATCGTTCGTATCAGACGTTTTCCAGCAGTTGGTCTCCTTTATCGGACTCAGCAAGTGGTGGAGCACGGATCTGACGGCGTGCGGTTGCCCTTCTCCGTTGCAGATTATGGGCGCGCACGCCCGATCATCCGCAACGGAGCAAGGGCGTAGGTTGGCACTGGACCTCCCCAAATCTTACAAACACATCTGCTCGCGTAACAGGCATTGCGCAGAAATGCAGCATCCCATTACCTCTGCGTAGGAGCATGGCGCATCCAGAAATGAAGCTAATGGGCGCTAAACTAACTATGTTTGTTCCTATTCCACGAAGGGATGCATTTTAGATGCATTTCTGGATATCCGAATACGCCCACTTGAAACGGTACACAGAAAACGGCGTTTTCGCGCTGCTCGGAGTGTTCCTCTAAAAATCCCCAACGCGTTTTTCTCATGAATTCTTGTTCACAAATAAGTGAAGTGGTTTGTGGGAAGGAATCCTCTTGATGGGTCCAGATTTGCAAACACCAAGTTTTTAGAAGATTATATTCGTTCAAACCAGGACAGTCTTGGTCTTTTTGCATCCAATTTTGAAAATCCCCAACCCATCCCCAACGCTGAATTTCTCTCTGAACTTGGCAACCTTATAAACATTTCAGTACTTTTCGGGAAGCTCAAATCTTTTTTACACGACTGCGTTTTCGTCTTTCCTAACGGTCTGCATTAAAGAAAGTTATAACCCTTCAAAGACAAGTTGGTTTACTTAAGGGGGTCTAAAAAACGCGCCTCCAACGCAATCAAAGCGCAAACGCTTGCGCGTTCAAATGGCATGGCTGCCAGTTCCTCCCGCGCGCGCGAATTTGAACAGAACAGTCTGTAGGTTGGAGCACAGCATCCTGTGCGGTGTAGATCCACACAGCCATTCTCTCTACCAGGGGCCGTATGCTATACTCCCCCTCGAGGGGAGGGGTCCCCTCTAGGGGAAGACACCCCAGGGGGACGTCCCCCAGAGCGGCCGTATGCTATACTCGAGGGGATCCCCGAAGCGGTAGAGACGCAGAGTTGGCTGGCGCAAATTTGGGGGAAGGGTCGTCCGTACATGCAGCCTCTGGCTTTGCACTGTGACATTTCGGAGAATCTCAAGCTAGAAGTGATGATTATCAATTGCAATCATTTGCCCTGCTATCATAAAGCTATTTTCAGGCTGAATTGTGTATTAATCAAGGTCATAGGGGTGACCACATTAATTTTTTCAACATTCTTGAATCCGCGTTCAACAAAATACTTTCTCAGTCTAAATTTCGAAATGTAGGAAATCTCTAGATTGAAGGGTGGCTGAATCTGTCCCACCGTAAGAACGACATGTTATCCACTATCTTAGTGGCCCTGTCTCTATCATTATGTCCTCCGCTCTCCGAACGCGCACTCATTTTCAGTATGGGCAATGCAACAACATATAACATACATAGAAATGTATTTGTATTGTGTGTAATTAATGTAATATGTAATATCTGTGTAATGTGCTTGAATCCTTTTCATTGGGGAGCTCTATTTTGCGAGCCCGTTGCCACAGGTGATTCAGAGTGACAGTACCATACTAGGATCATCTAGTAATGGTCTTTGACTTAGAGGAGCTCAGGAAGAGAATAGTGCGACGGTTAGTACGAAGTTCCCTAAAATGAGTTCTCTACCTTATTTAGTACATCCAGATTTGTTTCAGAGGACTTTGTGAAACCAGTAAGAATTAGTTGAACGGATTCTCTTAACTGCTACTCGATAACTTATTAGTTATTGATCATCACGAATGACTCCAATATTGTACTACAATGAATGAAGTTCATCGTTGTAACGATGCTCACCGTAGTAGAATGAGCTTTTTGAATTTACCTCCGGGCTGTTGTAATGAAATGGAGCGCCCCAATGAAAAGGGTTCGAACAGGCGTGCTTGATTTTTTTTTCAAAGTGGCGACCTCGGCATGGTTTGGATAGCATCCGCTGCGAACTCATACAACATATATTATTATTGCTGTATATAATACACGACTTTCATTATTATTCTTATATATATATACATATATATATATATAATGTGTATAGTATTCAATATATAAATATATATGTTATTATTATCATATATAATATAAAATATATATTATTAAGATTGAAAAGAAAACGATCACGTTGAATAAAAAGCTATAATAGATCCTAAGAAAGAAGAAGTGATCATTTTTGAAAATGTAAAAGTGCGGTCAGACAATAGCATAGAATAGCTCTCCAAACACTGTGTAAAAAGTAATGAGATGAAAAAAAAATCGGTAGAGTGGTTAGGAGTGTTTCTGTAACATGAAGAAATAAGAAAAGTTCAAAACAAATGGGAAATAAGCTAAAAAACTGTTCCAGGGGATATCTTCCCCAACACGTGTTGTTGGGGGAGCTCTCCCCCTAATTTGGTAGGCGTGGCGTCTCCCCCAAAGCCTTCGGGGGAAGTGTAGCATACGGGGAAGGGGACCCCTCCCCTCGAGGGGGAGTATAGCATACGGCCCCAGGAGTTTCCGAAACAAATTGTGGATCCCTAACTCGCTCACTTAACACGCAGTGGTAGGAAATAGTGAAAATCGTTATAATTTTTGAATTTCCACCTGTTTAAAGTCGGGCCTTATGGTTTTCCATCTTAACTGAAGTAACACATGTATTAGAACACCGGAGTTCATCTAAACTGAATTCCTGTAAATAGAGTGAGCAATTTTGCTGGGATCCTGTTTTGTGTACCTACGGAATGTTTGGAAATTAACTCGTACAGAAATTCTTCGGCTGGGTGATGTTCAGTGCTGGAAGATGCTCAGAAGCCAGGATTTTTTACACACTTGTTTTCTTCCATGTGAGTGTTGGAAGGAAACGCAAATAAAAAGGCAAAAAAACAACGAACCTTAGAAGGGGAGGGGGTCGTATCGATCCGCATTTTAGGGGGGGGGGTCGTACGGACTCGACTAAAATCCCCAACCAATGATGTGCCCTGTCTGAGAGGGCCACACCGTGTTGTGTGGATTGGAATCGTAGAGAACCTAACCTCTCATCTCCACTAACCTCTCTCAGAAACTCCTTTTGATGAGGTCGGAGAAAAGGAAACTGACCAACGGGGTGCACAGCGTGCCATCCGTCATCGAGCAAGCACTTTTCGAATGCCAAGGACATTAACGACTGTCAGTTAGGTACACCTGAGTCTTGTCGCAAGACTGCGGGTGGTAGCCTCCGGATCCCTCCTTGACAGCTTCGAGAACGGTGGAGTTTTCCACTTCGTGGGGCCGTCCCAACCGAGGTTTGTCCTCGAATCGTGTCTCCTTTCGCGAAGCGAGCGAACCAGCGGTGGACAGTCCTGATGGTAGTGGTGTCCTCCCCCAATGCACTGTTGATGTTGCGGACAGCTGCCGTCGCTCCAGTGCCGCGGCGCCACTCATAGAAGATGATGACTCGAAGATGCGGGGGTATGTCGGATGGCGTGCCTGGCAGCTGTCTTACCGTAACTGGGACGCTGCTGGCCGTAATTGCCACCTCCACCGAGCCCCTGTAGCCGTTCTCTTGGATCGGACAACTCGTCCAAGCCACTTATCACACTTGATTCTCATAATTGATCGACCTACACTGGCAAGAGGCCAGCATAAACACCGAGTTGCGTGCTGACTTAATTAGCATGCACGACGGTTTTTGAGCTAATTTTCGACTTCTTTCGCCCAGCCCTCTATTGCGACGTCCACTGATACTCCGCTACTATTTGTTTGGAAAAACAATT